AAATTTGCCGCGTTGGGAAAGAATTTTTCCCGGTTGTTGAATTTTAGTGATTTTTCCTGTTTCACATTGGCTATATATGTACCTCGCCCTCCTCCTTCCCCCCTCCCGCTTGACGGAAGATTTTTGGGTGACGAACTGGAAAATGTGGGAAATTTTGAAAAAACAAGTGGTAGGTAGGTGTTGGGGAATAGGGGTCGCACCGAGACCCTCCCAAATTTGGAGGGGGGGGGGGTCACACCGAGACCCTTCTCGAGGGGGGTCGTACTGACACCACCATTTCACACATCAGGATGCTCTACCCTGATCGGGTATGCTGAACTACACGAACCTCCTAGATACCGCATTAGGAGGCCCATTATTCCCACTGTATTCCAGACAAGGGGTGGTGAGCCCTCACTTCCCACACTGGGGATCTCCAACGAGGGCAAGGGGTTGTATTTGCCTCTAACTATGAGAAAAACGTTCCCGGTTCTTGACGTTCTCCAGTTTTTCCTGCTATATATCTCCCGCTTGATGGCAATTTCTGGAAAAAAAACAAGAATTTTCGGACAAGAAGAGCCCAGGGGAAGCGGTAGTAAGTTGGAAGAACCAGAAGAGTTGGTAGGTAAGATAGGGGATGGGGAAGGGGTCGTACCTTGCAAAATCTCCTTCAACGACGGAACATGCCCCGGCCCCGATTTCACCTACAATCTGGATGCCTCCTATATGCCTTTACATCAAGAAAAGCTCTCAGAAATTCTTTTTCACACTACAGTTTGCAATTGAATTTGTTCAGCTGACCCTCCAAATTCGAACAAAACATTTCCAATTGCAGACAGTTTAGCAGAACGTCCAAGGTTTCGATTTCAGGAATATTGGCATTTAGAAATGATAATGAGAAAGCGACCGTAATAGACATCTGTGAGAGCCGTAATCCGACCTTGACCTCGAGTGTTATCGCTGGGTTTCGACATTTCTGTGCGCTAGATCTCGAACTTTGTACTCTGATCATATGGCGAACACCTCCTCGATGCACTGAGGGGTATTACATAATTGTAATAGCCGATTGGAACCCCATCAGTTGGTTATTAGTGTTTGATCTTTGGCGTTTTCTTATCGGCAGGCCACATACCGAGACTATGTGTGTGGTCGTCATCAATCCAATGAATAGTTGTTCGGGTGCCCGACGCGGCCCGCCCCTATCTCGTTGTACTTTGTACCCCCCATTGACGTGTGTGCATGCACCACAACGTTATTCTGTTCAGTTTGTGACTTCTGTTTCGGTTGCTTGCTTACATACCGCCGCAATTCATTTCGCCCTCATCGTATAACAACAGCCTTTACCCATTGATCACGTTGTTGTTTACGCCCTCGTGTCTTGCAGCCATCGTCGTCATCGTCGTCGACCCCCCACATTCGCCTTCTGCCTCCTTTGCCGACTGCTGTTCGCTCAGTCTCGTCCATTTCATCCAGTGTAAAAAGCAGCGCCACGACTAATCATGGCTGAAGCCCATAGTGCTGTTGCACTCTCATTCACCGGTGAGTACATGGCAGTACGGTTTTATCGCTTTTTATTAATTATCAAAATGTTGTGCTGTCCTGGAGCCTCGTGGCACCTAAATCAGGGCACGCTGCGATTCCCCAGCGGGGGTCGTATTTGGTCGATCAGAGGGAAGGGGTCGTATTTGGTCTAAGGGAATTTTTTTCATAGTTCATTGTTCCTGTTTCCCGGACGCTATTTACATCGTTGGGGGAATTCCAGGAGGGTCGTATTTTCCAAAAAACTTCCCCAGCGGCAGGACATGCCCGGATCTAAATGTTCAGCAGTGCTACTACGATGCTCAGAAAGTTTATTTCAAAATCAAAATCATAAAAGTCCTTCAGATTTCAAATCAGACAGTTCCAAAAACCAAGAGATTTTCGTGTCTTTTGCTTTATTTAAAGAAATTATTTGGGCGCTGTACTGCTTGGGAGAGACATTTTGTCCTATCGCTAGTTCCTTTTGCCTCTCCATGTTGACCAAGAGGTCTCATTTTGCTGAAACTGTAAACTCGTGTGAAGCTGCGAAATGGTACAAGTAAGCCTTGGGTGACAAGAATTGACAGGTCTTCGCAAGGTGCCCTGTGCAAGCTTCGCTGAGTACCATTCGGTGACCCCACCAAGCCGAACTGTGTCAACTGCTGGAGCTTCACACAGTTGCTAAACACTTGTTTTTTGTCAGTTCAGCATTCCTTTTACAATGGCAGCCTTCACAAGCTGAACACAGCAGTTTAAAAATCTAAGCATTTTTGGATGTTGTTCTGCTTGGTGGGGGCATTTTATTGGTTTTCACCTATCACTGCCCGTGCAGACTTGTAATTTTCTGTAAAACTACGGGATAGTAGAGGTTGGTTTCCACTTGACCAGAGTATACAGGTCTTAACGAGACGTGGCGTGTAATTTAACAGGAGCTGGCAAAACAAGCTAGCGTAAGTGCACCGCCCCCACCCCTCTCTTCGCGAACAGCGCCCATTTTTGACCTGTGCCTCACAATGCATTCGATTGCAAAATGTTCATTCCAGTGCGCCCAGAATACGCAAGAATAATTTCGCCAAGATACTCGGTGTTACATAAAATTTGCACAAATAAAAAGGATAGGAAAAATCTGTCAGGTATGCCTGCGTGGGTGGCAAAAGGAATATAAAGATCACAAAGTGACTTCCGGCCGGATGGCCGAAAGGCTCGTGACCGGTTACAACGATTGGACTGGTAGTTGTACATTACAGACCATAAATAGTTGGATGACTGGGACTGTAAACATGGGCGGGCGTTGTTCTACTTGGGAGGGGCATTTTGCACTTCCGCTGTTTCCAGTCAGACTACACGTTACACCTTTGGTGAAACCTGTTGATTGTCAAGTGTAAACGAAGCTCTTGTTATTGCATAGCTGTACATGAACTCGCAGATCTGCATAGGAGGCATCGTATGGGAACCTGCAAAATGATCACAATGAACGGAGCCTGGTGGCGGCTAAAGCCCCGGAATGTTCTCTCTCATTTTTTTCCGATTTCTTTTCAAAATATTGGGGGCATTTCGGCATGCGAAGAAATGACTGGATTGGGGGGGAAGAGATTTCTGGGTAGGCTTGGGAGAGGGAACTTCGAAGCGGTTAGCAAAGAAGCCGGATTCCGTCAACAAAAACGAAAATATGTTTTAGCCTTTCATAAGTAGTGGTTGCCTTTCGGTACTTTCTAAAATAGAGTGCTCTTTATAAAAGGTTGCAATATGGCGCGAAATATGGGTGAAACGACTTAAAAAAAACTGGATTCTCGGACTTTCCACAGTTCGGAATCTAAATCAATATAATTGGAGTGTCACACTTCAAACGACTCGGCCGCTCGATTTATCAGAGCTCGAGTCTTAGAAAAGGGTGCGCCATTCCGCAGAAGTGCACTAACAGACCTTGAAACGCCTTTTTGGAACCAGAACCACTAATCGATATCGGCAGTGAGCGGGCCGAAAAGAATAGAACTTTGGAAAATGAGGTTTTTTGGCCTCCTTCTTGGACGAATTCCGGCTCTGCTCGGCTTGGAGTGGGCATTTTACACTTTCGCTAGTTCCTTCTGTTGGCTTCATTTTAGCTAACAGGTCTCGCTTTGGTCAGACCTGTAAACACCTGTGAAGCTGCATAATTTTTCAAGGGGACCACTTGGGACACTATTTACGGAGTTTGAATTGAAGGTTGAATTCACAAGTCTTCACGAAATAGTCTGTATGAACTAACCGTTCGTTGCCCCCACCAAGCCAAACGGCTTCCGGGTTTTGATTCGAGAGAATCTCTTACAATCACGTAAAATGTCGTTTGTCTAGTTTTTATGCGATTTTTAGTGTCCATACGTCATAACCAAACGATAATAAGGAATGACAGACGAACGAACATCGTTCCATAACATTTGGGTCTCTCGGCGATCAGCTGTTCCCAGGGTCACTCTTTCTTTGCGGTTTCGCTATTCGAGCCATCCCATATTAACGTAAACAGTAAATCAAAAAACAGCTGATTATCAACGGACATAGTTTTTGTGGGGCATGTGACTTGCTTTTTTTGGTGCTCATACACCGAAGATAAGCCAACCACGAGTTTTATCTAATTAATGAGACGTAACGTCATGGCATTAGTCCACCATTCGAAAGAAAATGCTGGCTATTCCTACTAAGCTTGACTTTTAAGTGCAACAGTTAGTGCCGATTACGGTAATTCAGTTATATACACTCCATATCCCATACATGGAGAGGGCGTGGCTGCATACTTCATTTGGATGTACTGGTGGGATATTCCCATTTGGGACAACTGCCATACTGCCGTGTGCTGAGCATGGATATGATTACAGTTGTCGTTAAATCGGAATGTCTCCCCAAAAGTGCAGTCACTGGCACGTTCAAAGGTTGTACACAGCC